AACAGAGCAGCAGGAGGTCGAGTAGAACTTAGAGGAAGATCCTGACAGGACCACCGAGGCAGAGGTAGAGGGTGTCGTTGAAGACACTGAAATTGAGGAACCCGAGGCCAGGAAGTCTTTTGTACCTTCAGACGTCGAGGTGGGTATTTCAGGCAGAGAGGCGTGACCCGACTTCAACATCCTTCAATCCTTGGACGCCAAGGACGCCCTGGAGGTAGCCATGTCGCTCCAACCTCGGATCGATCTGAACTTTCTGAGGTAGAGACAGTCTCTTGCTGTAGGGAGAGGTAGAGGGTCGACAAGCAACGCGCCCCCACCTTCAGGAGCCAGCACCAACATTCCCCCTCCAGCACCAAGGCCTGCCAGTCAGGGCCAGATGCGTGATCGGGATCTTCTTGTTGAGGAGAAGAGAAGAATAAAACAAAGGCACGACGACCTTGGCAGAGGCACCAGGGCCCCCTCCCCTCAGTATCAAGGCGACAGGGGCCGAGGAAGGGCCCCCCCACCCCAACAACTGCAATAGCAGCAGCAGCAGCAATAACAGCAGCGAACTCCACCTCCCCTGCCGCCGACAGAGGCTGCGGCAGAGTGGAATCCTCGGGCCATCGATCACATGAGCAAGGTGATCTGGGTCGATGATTCTATTCTGCAGGACCCCCATGTCGCTTACGGAATGAGCGAGACACTTCATTTTGGGGCCGACATGGAGGCTCACCAGGAGCAGACAACGAATTCGTTGTTCCGCTCAATCATTCAGAACTCCTTGATGTTGAGTTTCACTTCTATTTGGTCCTCCCTCATTCTATCAACTGTGATTTAATCAAGTTCTTTTCCTCGCAGGCCACCCAACAAATCTCGGTGATCGCTGCTTGCTATCACGGAGCCAGACAGAACCTTGAACGAGCTGAGGAGGCGAAGCAAAAGGTTGAAGAGGCCCTTGCTGCCACTAAGGAGGATGTGGCTGCCAGGGACATCACCCTGGCGCCCAAGGTAGAACAGATTGAGCAACTGCTCAAGGACGGCGAATCGGCAAGGGTCGGCGTTAAAAAGCTAAGTGCCGCCCTGGCCGATGTTGAGAAGAGAATTACAGAGCAGACGTAGCGCCTACCCTCGACTGAAGCAAGAGCTGTCGGATCAGAGGAGAACTGTCTGGCCCTTACTCAGGAGCTCGACAGGGTCAAGGTTGAAATGGAGAACAATAGGAGGTTGGAGGAGCAAATCCGGGAGGAATTTGCCATGACATGGTGCCTCCCCTTGAGGAGAACAACAAGGGTTCTTCAAAAAGGGATGGAATGAGGCGCTCTGAGCAGCCGAAGTTCCTTCAGATTCTCCCCTCTTCCAGATACACATTTACGTGCCCTCGGCGGAGATGGTGCAGGCTGGGGCCGAGGTTGCTGCTGAGGACGTGGGCCCAGCCCCGATGCAGGCCTCAGTAGAGCCCCTTGAAGTGGTCATTCCCTCCGCCCCTGAATCAAGCACTCCTCCAATCCCGCCTCTTGCGGCTTCGGTCTCTGCTCCATCCGTTCCAAAAGTTACTAATCCCTTCAACGTAAACTCCCCCTGCAGCGATGTAGTAGAGATGCCGGGAGCGAGATGATCGGTTCTCCAGCTTTTGGATTTTTGCTTTTGAACTTGTACTTATTTATTTATTTTTATTTTTTATTTTTAGTCGTATTTTTCCGGTTTTTGTAGCTCTCGAGGACCCAATGTCACCATACTGCAAGATAAAGGAATAAATACATAATTTTGGTAATCCACATTTTACTCACAATTCAAGCAATTCACAAATCCACCGGCCGGAAACAGGGTCCATTAGACTTCTTCAGGATGGATNTGGTAATCCACATTTTACTCACAATTCAAGCAATTCACAAATCCACCGGCCGGAAACAGGGTCCATTAGACTTCTTCAGACTTCTTGGATCTCTATGCACACTGCACAGCTCAAGTCCAAGAAGTATTTGCTGTGACGTTGAGACATTTTCTTCAAAAATGGTCTGGAAAGGAATTTCAGGGTGCCTTTCAGCCATGACTCTGATATCAGCACTTAGATTTGGTCAGTTTATTTATAAACATCCAAACGTGTGGGGTTCTAGCTGGTTCAAGATTTCAAAGTACGCTATATGTACCAGCCGGCCTCTCTCTCTCTCTCCAGCTTTTATATTTACACAGCAGCAGCAGCGTTAGAATTGATTCATACACACGGTTGATGATCTATCCTTGATAATGACGATTCTTTTTGAAAAACTGCTTCGCTGTCAAGAATTTGGGACACCTGATTTTTGCAGACGGATTATTCAGCAAAGCCAAAACATTAGGGTTCAAGGAATAGGAAGCAAATGAATGTTGGGTAGTTGAGAGTCGCAGTCATGCACACATCAGTCACACACACACACACAAACGATAAAGAAAATAAAATCATAATAATTACAATCAAAGACAACGAGACTTTTATGCAATTTCCTCAATCAAGGTACCTCCACACCTCAGACCATATCAGATACATGGGCAAAAGTACATAGATTCAATACTCTCAATAATTCCCCTGATCATACATGGATCAAGCAACTCACAAAAACTCTAATTACGCTCACCAAACCCCTAAAGTTAACGTTGTTCAAATAATTGTATGAGCAAAAACAATTTTGTCAAAAAACATGTGATTAGGATTCTGTAAATTTGATTTAAACAAATCATAAATATGTAAATATAGCTAATACATTTGTAAATATGCATACATTTATTATTATTAGTTGGTGCATACGTGCGTTACACGTGAATCATTTTTGTATTAAAATTTGATTGTTTATTCTTTGCACTACAAAAATTTAGTCACTAATAAAACTCAAACTAAATATCAAATTCATAATTGCAAACGGGTTCAAATGACTTAGATCAATTTTTGAAACATGCATGAACACCACAAATTCGAGTATACCATATCAAGTACTTGAATATTTAAGTCAATTTCTATAACATAATAGTAATTAGGCTTAGAAGGATGGTATATAAATACGCACCCAATCATAAGTACACATATACACAATTAACTTTTTTTAATTTATATCTATACATATTACATAAACGTACTAGTCATAAACCGTGCCTGAAAACACTATAAAACATAAGATTCTAGTGTTCAAAAAATTGATCATATTATACTAAATTTAAAATTAAATTCTTTGCTTATATCATTTAAAATTAATTTTTACCTATTATTTTTTAAAAAATAAAGTCAGATTTTTTTCAAAATATATAACTTGATATAATTTTTTAACATGTGTATATTATTGTGTATGAATAATATATGAAATAAAACTTGTGTTAAACTACAAATTAACTAAATATTAAATGATTGAACATGTGATAAAATTAGGTGATGTGTTTTTTTAAGAAAAAATGTATAGGAGATAAAATTCAACTTGCTAGCTGATTTATTTTATAGATATTCGACTATAGAAGTATCAAATACAATAACACAGATAGTAAAAGAATATGGGACATATGAGAAATTAGAAATTAAAAGGGTGAAAACTACTAATATTGAACTGTTAAATTGATAACAATGAATTTTATTTAGCAAAAACCTAATGAAAATTGAATTTCGGATTGGATGAATCGGAGATGCAACATTACAAGTAACCAATGAACTTATTTAACTCATGGTTAACTTATAGAATATATGTAGAATTTTTTGAAAATACAAAAGCAACTTAATAGCCAAAAGTCTAATAGGGTAAGTAACCTTCAACAATATTAGTATTTGCCATTAAATAAAAAAAATAATATGGGCATTACTCAAGTTATCACCATTATTTTAATCAAACATTTTTTTTCACTTTTATTAACATTTTGTATTAGTATAGATATAGATATACATCTATTTTAAACATAAAAGAAAGGAGCAAATTTGAACAAGAAAAAAAAATGAAAGAAAAATGCTATCTTGATATAATTTGAGGACCTACTCTGGAAATCTAATCAATTGCAGTAGCTGGATTGAAAATAAGCTCTATCTAACATTAAAATTCACAATCGATCTAATGATTACATTAGTCATTATCTTATCTTCTTTTCAAATTAGAAAATGGATTACAAACACCAGTTGGATGTTTTACCTGGACTCTCTTTAGCTGTGGAGGTTTGCCAGGACTATGCTTCAACGACTACAGACTCCAATTCCGCTGAGCTGCTTGGGCAGTTACAAGTGGTTGGTAGCCTAAATCAGCTGGACACTATTATTTTCAAAGGCAGCAAGCTTAGGATAATTTTATTTAATTACTAATTGTACCAAGTATGCATTTTTGTTTTACTTTTATTTTTTTTATTACATCATGTAATTAGATTGCATCGAGGAATAAAATACATAAGTCCCCCTAACTAGGTGTAATTTTATTTTGAATCAATAAAACTCTCTCGTACCATCAAAGTTTATCAAAAAAAAACCTAATGATTCCTATGAATTAAATTTTTGTAACATTGCTCAAAAAAAAAAAAAAAAAACTAGAAATGCAAAAGAAATACTTAAAAAAGCCTAAAAAAAATGAAGAAAGTAATTAAAAACATTATCACAAAGTTTTTTTCTTCAACCCCTGTATATTTAATTGAGAATGATGGAAATACATGGCAAGGTTTCCAATCAATTGTTAATAACTAGGATCCAGCTTCTTTAGAATGCATCTCCATGCAGCACTTGTCAACGTAGTATTTGGCATATTTGCCGTTGAGACGTTTTCTTCACAATGGTCTCCAAGGAATTTCAGTTGTGCCTTTCACCCGTGAATCTGATATCATCACTTAGATCACCTCAATCACAAACACCCAAATTGTTCAACATACCTCTAATTCTATGCACCAGCCGGCCTCTCTCTCGCTCTCTCTCTCCTGGTTATATTTATACATGCATAAGTGTATTCATTTATACATTCATTCTCAATAGGTTAAAACTCACCTTTTTTTTCTCTCAGAAGATCAAACTCTAGAATCTTCACATTCGAGAGATGGCCAAACGTTTCAAGCTTCGATTTTCTCTTCCCTCCCTCCAATTCTGTCGTTCCAAACGATCATCTATGTTGCCACATAGTCCTTTGCCGGCGACGTTCATGTTCTTTCCGGTGAACCCTAAAGCATTCGACATCACGTATCCCAGCTTTCCAGACGCACCGCCATCAACCCCCAAAAGTCCAAATGATCATCACCCTTTATTCCAACCCCGAGCTCCATCAAAAACCACACCTGTCAGTGGCTCAAAAGAGTTCAATAAAAAAGAACATGACGGGAAAATGTATAAGTCGCCGGCTTCCGATGAGTTTGACGCCAGCTTATGGCCGGTTATACCGCCAAAAGGCGAAAAGAAGAAGAATAAAAAGACGAAAGATAAACCCACAAAAAAGAAATCACAAGCTAGTGTTTGTACGAGCATTTCGTCGGCAGAAAGCGGTTGGTCGTTCACCAGCGAAGGTGGCGATGAGGAAGAGACTGAAAGCCTAGTTTCATCTTCTAGAAGTTTTGATTCTTCGTATGACTTCGGTTATTCATTAGGGACTATAAGCGAAAGCTCCATTAATGGAGGAAGAAGAAAGAAAAAACATAATCTTAAGGTTCGGAGGTTGGGACGTTATGCTTCTAATACTTGGAAAAACGGTGAGAAAACAACAACAACAGCAGCACCGCCGGAAAATGAATCTCCAGTGAAGAAATCAGTTTTCAGGAGACTGATATCGCCGTGCTCGGCGGAGGGAAAGGTGAACGAGAGCTTTGCCGTGGTGAAGAAGTCAGAAGACCCATATGAAGATTTCAAGAGATCAATGTTAGAGATGATATTAGAGAAAGAGATGTTTGAGGCCAAGGATTTGGAGGAACTCTTGCAGTGTTTTCTCTCTCTGAATTCCAGCAACCATCATGCAGTTATAGTTGAGGCCTTTGCAGAGATTTGGGAGGTTTTGTTCAGCAAATCCCCTAAGTCTTCGAGTGCTTCCATTGGTTTTTGAAGATCGAAGAAGGTGAAATGAGAGCTTTTTTTTTTTTTTTTTTTAA